TTCTGTTTTAGAAACAGCAGGTGCCATTTGATAAATTAGAGTCTTTGATTCAGCACCATTAGTAGCACCTGAGGAAGTGATCTGAGTACAATTTGTGGGAGAGATGTCACTTTCTTTTATTTTTCTCCAAGTCCCTTTCGTAGGTACTTGATTTTCTTTAGTTTGTTTGGTTGTTGAAACAGAGTTCACGTGTTTTTCATCCTCACTTTTTGCCTTTTCACTGGACTCTGATGAAGCGGAAAGAATTGAGGATGAGCTTCCTGTTCTTCTCCAAGTGCTTACTCGAGGAAGGGATGATGAATGTTTGCTGTGTTCACGTTTCCAAGTTCCTGACCTGTTGATGGGAAGTCTGGAAGGACTTTCAGAATGGGACCGTGCTATATCATGGCGCTTTGCTGGTCTCCCATCATTGTACTCTATAGTAGGGCTAAGATTAGGTGGGAGTTTTCGCCATCCACCAGGCTGAACAGACGAATGTGTGGATAAAGACATATCAGGAAGAGAAGGACTTAAAACTGGAGTCTGTGCCTGGGACCTAGTGGGAGAATTTGGTCTAGAAGATGGAGAAAGAGATTCAAATGAAGCAGATTCCTCCAATTTTCTCCGGAGGGTTGGGCTTGGAGCTTCTTTGATGAAAGTTGACTGACATACTAATACAGGTCTCTCTGATCTATCAGATTCACTTCCACTAGATTTAGTTGAAGACATTCTAGAAAGTTCTACCTTTTTATTAGATCCATTGCTATTACTCATCTGATTTAGCCCTTTGGAGGCAGACTCACTTCTTGGAATGCTACTGCCATTCTTGGAGAAGCTGGTTTGTTTGGTAAGGTTCTGTTGGCTCATTTGTCTACCTGGGGATGTATATGGCATTTTCCCAGAACCTGAGGATTTAGTTGAAGCAGTACTAGGGGATGATGTCCTTGGCAGTTGAGATAATTTATTTGGAGGACTGATACCATTTCTACCAGGAGAAATTGAGTTTCGCCCTGGTGACTGCATAGGTCTACTCAGGGGCTGCTGGGCAGGTCTTGAAGGCGTGGAATCTCTAGATCCTGATCGAGAAGATCCTTTATTGGATCCACCTGGCTGGGGAGCTGGCCTGCTAACAGGGCTTAATTCTGACTTTACTGACGGCTTGGTTCCTCTGGGTGAAGTAGTGGCTGTCTGACTTTCACTTGGACTTTTGGAAGCTGGAGTCTTAAGGGGTGGGCCTTTTTTAGAAACGGGACTTGTACTTGATGAGCTATTTCGAACTCCTGGAATATGAATCATTGTCCTGCCTCGAGAAATTGAAGGCATGTTTGCTTGAAGGGGTTTCATTTGGCTTAAAACTTCTGAATTAGATCGAACTTTTCCAGTAATCAGACTCTTATAAACTTTCTTCCCTCCTTTGATTCCTTTATTTTCAGATTCTATCTTTTTCGCTTCCAAAGTACTCTTCTCTCCAGGCTTTAAAATTCGAGGGCCTTTATTACCTGTAAAAGGTTTTTCCTCTTGATCAGGTGTAAGATGAAATGGTGACCCCAGAGAGATTCCAGATTTCAGGGAAAGGATAGAATCTGAGTCAGATGAAGCTTGTCTGGAGAGACAGGCAGCAGCAGCAGCTTGATGTAAGCTGCTCACAATGGAATTTGCACCTTCTTGGATAGCTTTCCAATCAAAGTTTTCTGAATCAGGGGATAAACCATGTTCTGAGTCTGGTCTCTGAATATCTTTCAAATCAAGCGTCAAATCTTCTGCTAGTATACCACCCATATTTCTGGGGCTATGCTTTTCATTATCACTCTTGAATCTTGAAGGCTTTTTCTTTTTTGGCATTGCAGAACTTATACATTCCTGTAAAAGGTCATCTTCAGAATCAATACTAAGAGAACTGAGAGAACTGTTTCTTGAGAAACAAACAGGGGTATCCTCAACATGAAATGACTTCGGCGCATAACCTGATGCCTGAGGTTTGCTGGTCTCTCCTTGTGAGTCAGGGCGCTCAGTCTCTTTGATAGGCTCATTTTCTTTGCTGTTGTTGTTTTCTTGGTCAATGTCACTGAGAGAACTCAGAGACGAATTCCGAGAAAAGCAAACTGGGGTATTTTCAATAGCAAAATTCTGTAATTTTTCATCAGTGGCTGCCACTCTGTCGGGCATGTCTTTGGATGACTGAGGGAAAGTGGACTGCTTGTGCAGGACGGGTTTAGGTTGACCTCTGTTAACTGGAGGCTTCGGGACAGCCTGTGTCTTATTAGCTGATTGCTGGTTTGAGGTTAGTTCTGTGTGGTTGTTAACTTTAGCTTCTGAGTCCTTATTTTCTTTCCCCTTTCTTAATTCAGCCTTTTCCCTGGAAAGGTCAACATCATCATCATCGAAATCTAGAGAGCTCAAAGAATCATTTCTTGAAAAGCAGTAAGGAGTTCCTTCAATTGGTGTATAATGATGAGGTGAATCAAAAGTAAAACTTCCTCTGACTCGATCTTCATTATTTGGCAGCTTATCGTTGAAGTCTTTGGGATTATTTTTAAAATTCTGTTTCTTTGAATCTTTGTTGTCTGAGAAAGTTCTTTCAGCATTTACACTGTTTTTTGCATCTGCATTTTTTCTTACACGTGTCCTATATTCAGTATTCTGTGGCATAGGTTTTACTGGAGATGTCGGTTTCTTTTTCTTGCCTTCTGACTGGTTTTTGTTGGCTGCAGATGCTGAGGCTTGCTGGACCTGGTCTATTATCTTTTTCACACGGAATGGCTTGTGACTTTTCCCTTTAGGCATAGCAGAATTAATGCATTCTGCAAGAATATCATTTTCCTCTGTCTTATTGTCATCCAATTCAGGTATAGTCATAGATGAAGTTTTCCCCCTCGGAACCTCATCTGTACTTCTGCCTTCTGTGGGAATGGTATCTCGTTTTTCAAATTCAACTGGCTGGGCCCCTGCTCGAACCCCTTGGCCAGTTAATTCATGTGGAGGAGAGTCTATTGCTCGATCACTTAGAGCTGTAGCTGTGGAGAAGTTAATAGGTGTCCCGTCTACACAATAAACCCGGGGCATCACATGCTTGTGTGCCTGGACCCTGTTCTGTGACGGTGGGAGTTTGTACACGGGCAGCTGACTTGGCTTCCTGGCCACAGGGGGAGGCACTTTGGAAGCAGCCGGGGCCGCCTTTCTGGCTTTGTGAGATGATTTTCTTGGCATGGCAGAAATGATACATTCTTCTAGTATTTCTATATCATCATCATCTGAATCATCTAATAGATCTTTTTCAGAGTCAACAGATTTTTCTGCCTCTTTTTCTTGGTGTTCATTTGATTCTTCAGGCTGCTCACATTCTGTTTCATTTCCATTGTCATTTTCCTGAACTGGAGGCATTATTCGTAATTCTACATCTTTCTGTATAAACGGTTCATCGAGGCTCAGAGCACTCAAGCTAGAGGAACATGAAAATCCATCTGGAGTACTTTCCGTGGCAAAGTGTAATAAGGTATCAGCATCTTGGAGAACCTGGACCCTCTGAACGGCAGCGTTTACAGCAGCTTGCTTCGGCCCACTCTCTTTCTTTTCAGTGTTTGGGACTTTATTTTTAGATGCCTCTCGTTTAGTCGGAACTGTCTGAGGAGGAGGTGGCGGTGGGGTTTTACTTCTGCTTGGCGGCATGGTTTGTCCAGGGCTATCTGGAAGGTCACTGGGGCTAATAATGCCACTTATCATTCCACTGCAGGGTTCACTCTGAACAGAGCTAGCAAATGAGCGACTCTCAAAACTGTCAAGTGAACTGACAGAAGTGCATCTGCTGAACATCAGTGGAGTCTCCTCAACATAGTGCTCAGGTGGACTTTTAGGTGTCTGAGCACCACTTTTTGATGGAGATTTGGCCCCAGAAGAAAATTCAACAGCCTTGTGCCTGGCTGGTTCTGAAGAAGATAAAGCTGAAGTCTGGATTCGGTTGGGTTTGGTTTTCACGTGCTGAGGTACTGCTGGGACTTCACTCACTGGATCCTCAGCTGATCTGGTTGTACTGTTTTCTTTTAGTTCTGCTATCTGTAAAGTATCAGCAGAATCCGTTTTCTGTGTTGTCTGATCACATCCTATTTCATCCTCTGCTGATGACAAAGACGATAATGAACTACACCTTGAAAAACATATAGGGGTATCTTCTACACAGTAAGTCTGAATTGTTTCTTGGTTGATAGAGGAAACTTTGCAAGAGGCAGCTTTTTGAGTCTGAGCACTCGGGTTTTGTGCCGCACTTGGATGAAGCTGATTCTGCCTTTTGGCATTAGATGAAGGTGTGGTTGTATTCTCACTGCTTGAAGAGATGTGTTCAGTTTTAGTACTTTGTCCAGACGGACTCTTTGAGAAGGGAAAGGATGGCTTTTGTGAGGATGGGACATCTGTGGCGTATTTTAAACTATAATCAATTGGCTGATCCACATGATGTTTTTCATCATCATATTTTATGCTGTAATTTGTTGGTCTCTCCTCTTCTTCATGTTGGTCTTCCTCAGAATAACGTTCACTGTAGTTGGTTGGCTTATCATCTTCATAATCATCTTCCTGACACAGAGACTGGTTTACATTTTGATTGATTCCATGATTAGAACCCACTCGATTAGTTTCCGAACCACTGGGTCCCCTTGACCTATATGGGGACACACACTCTTGCTGTCCAAAATGTGGCTGGAACTTGAGGTGATTCTCGTCAGTGCTCTCATTATATGTGGGGAAAGTGCTGCTCTGGCTCCTTGCCTGCCGGTGTTCGTTTTGTTTGATTTCATCTTCTATTATGTGTTTGTGCCTTGCCCATCTTTCATTCTGTGAGGGACTTTGCCTTCCAGAGTTCAACTGCTCATCTGAATATTTAAGACTATAATTTATTGGTGTATCGAGTTCCCCATCATTGTCATCCATATGATTTGCACTATGGATTTTATGGGCTAGGTCGGCTGGATATTGACCATAACTGCAAAATTTACTTTCATCGTCTTCAGAATAGGATTCAATTGAAGGTTTCATCTGACCTCTTTTCCCGTAACCATCACTGCTACTCACACTATTTAAACTATCATTTGAAGATCTCTTATATTCCAATTTGGCATAAGGCATAGGACAGGTCCTGTTTGACGTTTCCGACTTAGGAAAGCTGTAGCTGTTTGAGTGTGTATGGGAAGCAGAACTTCTTCTCAGTGCATTCCTCTCATCTGTTACACAGTGTAATTCAGTAGTAGACCCACTTCTGTCTTCTGGTGGGGCATGAATGGCTGACACTTCCTCCATGACTTTGGCAATCTGGGCAGTAGTGGAGATCTGTAAACTGCGCTTTGAAGAGGGTCCTGCGTTTTCTGTTGCTGGATGGTAGCTGCCTAGACCAAGTCCTCGCTCTCTCTCCAAACTTCTATCTTTTTCAGAACGAGAACTATCTAAGCTCCCTCGTGATGAAGAAGAGCTAGGCAACACTGTAGTGTTTAAATACGGTGAAAGGACAGTCACATTTCCAGCATTAAAATTGTCTGACTTATTATCTTCATGCCGATTGGTGTCAAAACTATAGTCACCATACAGATTTTGCTTGTGTCTCTGTTTAGTACGATGAGAAGCCTTGGGGCTTAAATTGTCTATGTTGTCAAATGTTTCTGACAAATGCTGAGCATCCAATTCCGCTTCGAGGGCTTTCTGTTTCCTAACATGAAGAGATGGCAGACTTGAACCAGGAGACATGATATTGGCATCCTTATACTTAGCAGGTCTATTTGCCATGAGATTCCTTAGAGCTGCAGCACTTCCCATTGCAATCATTTTGTGCTTTGAATGAATGAGGTTCTTGAGCATGCTAACTGCCCCCATGTCCCATAATGCTTCTTGGTCTTTAGGATTTCTTGCTGAGAGATTCCACAAGGTTCCACATGCATTACTGACTATAGTCAAACTGTGAGATTTCAAGTGTTGTAATAAAGTTTGTAGGCAGTTGTTCTCTCTTAGAATTTGTCTGAAATAAAAATAAGATACCATGAAATTAAGGTAATGTATATTCACAAGTAAAACAACATTCAACAATTTATATCAAAAGACAAGTACTAAAATTATATATGGCACAAAATATACCAAATTATTCTATAAATTCCAGGCATTCTACATCTCTTCTGCTTTTTCTTTGCTGACTTAATGTTTCCTGTTTTAAAATACTTCTCTGTCTGATGGAAAGGATTAATTCTAACTTACTCTGCTTTATCTATTTTCATCATCTAATAGCTTTAAAAATTTTTTCAAAGAAGATACATTTCCTCTATTTACCTGACGGCAGAACTCACTAAATGAAGGACTAGAAATTTATCATGAAAGATTATGCTGAATAGGAATTCTGTGGACATTTATTCTACATGTGGCAGATAGGAAAACTTAAGAGATTCCCCCCCACCCCACACCTTTATTTATACTTCCTAGGTGACCCATGTAATTAGGGAGCATACTGAAAGCTACTAAATCAGTTGACTTTTGGCAGGAATTCCTGTATCTCTGGTTGGATTTTTGTGATACTGATATCCATCCCCTGTAAGTACTTTTGTAAGGTATAAGTGTAATTGTTATTTTTAAAAGAAAGTGAGTTAAATTTTTTAAAGACTGAAAGAGAAAGGTTGAGAATCAACATGCTGAATCTTGGGACTTAAAGGAAAATGACTCTGTTTCATGCTCGCCCTCATGCTTGGGAAACTGAAGTCTAACGATGGCCTATTCAGCATTGTTGTCTTATGTGCCGCTGAGTTGCCTGCGACTCAACACAAGCGACTCATGGTGACCCTATGTACAACAGCTCTGAACCTGGCTCTATCCTGTGCCAACCTTATTGACACACCTACCCACATTACCCCAGTCACTGAGTCAATCCATCTCACCCAGGGTCTCCTCTCTTGTACTGTCCTCCACCCTACAAACTGACTCATCAGAGTGCATGATAAGCTTCAGTAGCCTAGTTATTAACTGAGTGCTTCGTGTGTTTAAGGAGTCTTCTTTGTATAGAAGAGTGAGCTATTGTAGTTTGTGCATCAAATACTTAATAAACATTTACAGTCTTCAGAAGCTCTTCCTATAAAAGTATCTGGTAGTCCTTTTGAAAAGGAGTATTCAGACTTTTAAAAATGAGAGGACAATAGGCAAATATGCTGTGAAACAAAACCATATTTTTATTGACATAATAGAGTTCAAGTTCTGAAAATGTGCACCCTGTAAATGATTATGTTCCTTAATTACTGATGTTAAGATTTTTAAGTCATACTCATAAATTGTGTTTTTTCCCCAACTAATTTAATTTATAAGGCCGACATTCCTTTATGCCATACTAACAACTATTTGTTATTGCTGTGGTGTCGTCGAGTCAGGACTGACCCGTGGCTGATCCTCTGGCAGGTTTTCAGAGGCAGTGAGGAAGAGATTTTTTCCAATTTAGTATTTGTGATTGTATTTTTTTTCCTTCCACATGGGGTGTTATATCTTTGAACTGTCACTAGATTCCTTCATGATACTACGAACACTTATTTATTACAATACATGTATTAATGAGTTAAACTAGAAATTATATTTTCACTATAATAAATATAGTTTAGACCTTTGTAATTTGTAATTATACAAATCACTGCTTACAATTAGGGAATAAATTCTACATAAATTCATTTAAAAAATGACAGAACACTCTGTATATACCTGTGGTCCTCATTGGTCGCTATCAAGCTGGACACGTTGCGCAGTATCCCACCTCCACTTTCAATAATGGCTAAGGTATTTGTCTGACTCCGGTAAGTAAGAGTGCCAACCAAAAATGCAAGTGCACCATCCACAGCACATATGTCAGCTTTATTCTCAGTGCAGTGTGCTGACAAATTCCATAAGGCACTCAGGACACTTTTGAGAGTTGATTCCTAAGAAAACAAATATGTATTACCTAGAGTTGGAATTTGTCTTTGACAAAGTCTATGTTTACTTCTATACTGACTACATTCTATCTATGTTGAATAAATTACATTTTTATCTTCCATATTGCCTACATACTCACTGATAAAACAGGAATCTTCACTAAAAATCGCTAGTTTTTAGAAAGTATAAAACAAATTATGTTAGTTATAGTCCTATGAAATAAGCAGAACACATTATTAAACTAATGACAGTTTTGAACTTCATTCCAAGAAGATATAAACATCATAGAATTATTAGAAAGTGGAACAGTATTGATATGTATTATTAAAAAAGTCACATTTTCAGAATAATGGAAATCAGAACAAACCTCCAATGCCAATCTGGAAGGAGACCTAACTATTGTTAAATGAAGATTCAAGTTGCATAATGGTATGCACCAAGTTTTGTTTGCATAAAAAAATACACATAAATACCAATGTGAGGTTGATTTAAAAAGAATAAACCTTAATAAAAAGTAAAAAAAAAATACGGAAGTATACTAGAAAATTTCAGTATTTTAAACCTTCTAACAAAATAAAGTACAAAAAAAGGGGTAAAAAGAAAAACAGAGCTCTTTAATATACAGTATCATAGTGAACTGTCAAATTATAATTGAGAAAGATCCCCCCATATGCCAAGTTCTTTATTGGTTTTATTGGGAGAAACACCGAGTACGCTCAAAACTTGTCATGATTCTAACATTAGCATTTCTTTGTATTATGTATCATCTACAAAGGAACAAACATGCATTAGAAATTGATTTTGTGCCTCTCACAATTAAGGACCATCCTACAGGGTACAACATAGCAAACTGATACATGCTTTGTTTTAAAAGTACAAATTATTTTGGGGGGGGAGGGGAATAGAGACAAAACCAAGTATTGTAAATGTATGATTATTTTGCAGCTTGAATTTAATAAAATAAATGAGGTATTTCATGGAGAAAGCAGCTCTGTAGAAATATAAGACCTGTATTACCAACATCGATGGTAGCAAACAGTCAAAAAGACACGTTGCATTTGGCAAAATTACTGTCAAGAACCTCTTCAAAGTGCTAACGAGTAAGACTGCCAGTTTAAAGACTAAGGTGGGCCTGATTCAAGCCAGAGAATTAGTAATTGCTTTTTATGCAAGTGAAAGTTGAATAATGTATATGGAAAACCAAAGAAGAAATGATGCTTTTAAATTGTGGTATTGGTTTAGAGTATTGAATACTGCCAAAAAGAACAAACAGGTAAGGATGGTGAAATTCTGTCTCACAAACTTTGGGCATATTTTCAGAAGGGTTCAGTCATTGGGAAAAAGATTTGCTTGTGGGAAAGCTAGAGGGTCAACAAAAGAGAGGAAGACCCTTCAAGAGATAGACTGACACATGACTGCAACCATGGTCTGGAGGATGGCAGACAGATTGAGGATGGTGAAGGATAGGGCAAGGTTCAATCCATTGTTATCTGACATTGATCTATTTGATGGCACTTAACAAGAAGAGAGAGTTCTAACAGAAGCAGAGGGGCTGAAAAAAATATGTCCACATAATAAATACAGCAAGTAACTTGCTCTGGGCTTTGGTTCTAAGAGAAAAATGAAACACTACAGAAGTTAGAAGCAATAGAGAATTTATTTTCATCTTCAAGTTCCTGGGGTTCTTAGGCACAGGTGGAACATAAAACAAGCACATGAAATGATGCCCAGTATCATGAGGCATTCATTCACTGCCATCAAGTTGACTCCCATTCATAGCCATTCTCCATCTGGTCTGAAGCTGTAAATCTTCACGGGAGTAGATTTTTCCCATCTTTCTCCCTCGGAGCCATTAGTGCATTCAGACTGCTGGAGAAGGCCTTCGGGTCAGCAGCATATAACCTGCTATGGGCTATGCCACCAGAGCTTCTTAACTAGTCAACAGGGAGACAGAGACCACTTCACTCCCTTTTAGATAAAAAAAAAAAAAAAAAAAAAGGAAAACAGTAGGTGCTGGTAAGGTTGTGAAGAAGCTGGAAATGTCATCTAATTACTGGTGGGAACAAAAAGCTGTATACCCACTGTGAAAAAGTTTTACAGTTCTTCAAAAAGCGCAACTCTTCCACTCAAAACTCACTGCTAGGGAGTTGATTCTCTTATCAGGTTTTTGAAGCTGTAAATCTTAATGGGTGTTCACTGCCTTATCTTTCTCCCAAGAAGCAGCCCTTGGGTTTGAGCTACTACTGATCTTTCAGTTAGCAGCCCAACAGTTACCTACTCTCTACAACACTAACCTATGACATCATCTGAGCACTTTCTAGAACTACCATTTGACACTCATATACCTGAGAGATGTGAAAGCAGTGGCACTCAGCATACACATATGCCAACTTCACTGCAACACTTTCCACAATAGCCAAAATATGGAAACAACAAAAATGTTCACCAATAAATGAATGGATAAACAATGGATTATGCCCACAATGTAACAGTATTCAGTCGTAAAGATAAATGAGATCTGGCGAGCTCTGGTGGCCTAGTGGCAAGAAGCTACACTGCAATCCCAGAGGTGTGTGGTTCAAATTCACCAGATGCTTTGCTGGAGAAGGAGGAACAATTTCCTCCTGTATCAGTCAAATCTGATTTGATGGTATACACACACACACACACACAC